AGTGATTCATGCATAAAATAAAAAAGAATCAACACAACAAAGGGTATAAGAACTGAATGACAGGGTGAATACGGCTCATGTTTTAAATTGACCTCTGAGTAGCACATAGAGAGGCAGATCAGAATTTTATTTCATAGGTTTTGAAAACTAAATTGACTTTCAAACTATAGCTCACAAAATTGGATTGGACATATGTTATGAGTTTAGGAAAGTTGACTGTCTACTAAAATAGAAGATTTATGTAGGAACCACAGTCTCCAAAAATATAAATATATAGGATAAAATCCAAAAGTATTTGTCATACCAAAAACCCAGGAATCCTCAACTTGAATGAAAAATGACAACAAATGCTAACACCAGGATGGCACAAATGTTGGAATTCCCTAACAAAGATTTTAAAGCAGTCATCATCAAAATACTCCAAGAAGCAATTATAAACACCTTTAAAACAAATGGAAAAATAGAAAGCCTCAGCAAATAAATTAAAGATATAAATAATCATTTAAAAAATTTCACAATGGAAAAATATAACAAATTTTTAAAAACTCACTAGATGGGCTCAAAAGCAGAATGAAAACAAAAGAAGAAATAACCAATGATCTTGAAGATAGGTCAATAGAAGTTATATAATTTAGCATCATAAGGAAAATAGATGAAACAAATGATCAGAAACTCAGGGATCTGTGGAAAGGCAACAAAAGATCTAACATTTATGTCACTGGGGCAAAAAAGCAAAAGAATGAGTGTGGAATAGAAACACATTTTTTAAAAAAAATCGTGGCTGAAACATTTTAAAATTTGGCGAAAAACATAAACATACAGATTTAAGAAGCTGTGTGAATGCCACAGAAAATAAATCCAAAATCAGAAATTTAACGTTAATATAGCATCATACAAAGTATATTCTCTGACAATAATGGAATTACATATAAATTAATCATAAAAAAAAGAAAATCTCCAAACTCTCAAAAATTAAATAACACACTTAAAAATAACTCACAGCTCGATGAGAAAGTCTAATGGAAATTTTAAATAGTATATATTGGACTGAATTAAAAGGAAATGACATATCAAAATCTGTTGGATACAGCTGAAATAATGTTTAAAGGGCAGACACTTCTCAAAAGAAGACATTCATGCAGCCAACAAACATATGAAAAAAAGCTTAACATCACTGATCCTTAGAGAAATGCAAATCAAAAACACAATGAGATACCATTTCATGCCGGTCAGAATGGCAATTGTTAAAAAGTCAAGAAATAACAGACGCTGGTGAGGTTGCAGAGAAATAGGAATGCTTTTACACTATTCGTGGGAATGTAAATTAGCTCAACCATTGTGGAAGACAGTGTGGCAATTCCTCAAAAATCTAGAAACAGAAATACCATTTGACCCAGCAATCTCATTACTGGGTATATACCCAAAGGAATATAAATAATTCTATTACAAAGATACATGTGTATGTTCATAACAGCACTATACACAATAACAAAGACATGGAATCAACCTAAATGCCTATCAGTGATAGACTGGATAAAGAAAATGTGGCACATATATACCATGGAATACTACGCAGCCATAAAAAGGAATGAGATCATGTCCTTTGCAGGGACATGGATGGAACTGAAAGCAATTACCCTCAGCAAACTAATGCAGTAACAGAAAACCAAACACCATATGCTCTCACCTATAAGTGGGAACTGAACAATAAGAACACACGGACACAGGGAGGGGAATGACACACACTGAGGCCTGTTAGGAGGTGGAGGGTGAGGAAGGAGAGCATTAAGAAAAATAGCTAATGCATGCTGGGCTTAATACCTAGGTGATGTGTTGATAGGTGCAGCAAACCACCATGGCACATGTTTACCTATGTAACAAACCTGCACATCCTGCACATGTAGCCCAGAACTTAAAATAAAAATAAAAATGTAAAAATGAATGTTTAAAAGGAATATGTAAAACTCTAGACACTTAGGGCCAGGCACGGTGGCTCACAACTGTAATCCCCAGCACTTTGGGAGGCTGATGTGGGTGGATCACTGGAGGTCAGAAGTTTGAGACCAGCTTGGCCAACATGGTGAAACCCCATCTCTACTAAAAATACAAAAATTAGCTGGGTGTGATGGTGGGTACCTGTAATCCCAGCTACTCGGGAGGCTGAGGCAGGAGAACTGCTTGAACCCGGGAGATGCAGATTGCGGTGAGCTAGGATTGTGCCACTGCACTCCAGCCTGGGTGACAGAGTGAGACTGAGTCTCAAAACAACAACAACAACAACAACCACCAAACACTAGACACTTACATCAGAGAAAAAAAAAGAAATCTCAAATCAATAATCCAAGTTTCCACTTCAAGACATTAGCAAAACAAGAGCAAAATAAATACAAAGTAAAGAGAAGCAAACAAATAAGAACAGAAATCAATGAGATTGAAAACAAAAATAATAGAGAAAATAAATAAAACCCAAAGCTAATTTTAACAGTGTCCAGTAAGATTGATAGACCTCTAATAAGACAAAGAAAAAAAAAGAGGGCAAATTATCAAAATCAAGAGTGGAAGAGGAGCTATCACTATAGATCCCGGAAACATTAAAAGGATGAGAATGGAATACTGCAAAGAACTCTGCAAACGTTAAGTTCAACAACTTGGATGAAATGCATAAAATCCTTTAAAATTGCAAACTACCAATATGCATCCAAGATGAAAGAGATCATCTGAACAGTCCTATAACAACTTAAAAGTTTGAATTTGCAGTTTAAAAACCACTTAAAATAAAAGTCTCCAAACTCATACAGTTTCACTGTAAATTTTACTAAACATTTAAAGAAATGACACCAGTTCTAGATAATCTATTCCAGAAAACAGAAAACGAGGAAACACTTCTCAACCCATTTTTATGAGGTCAGCATTATATGAAGCTTAATACAAAACTGAGAACATAAGTAGGCTAAGAGCTTTAGTCTTTATCTTAAGAACAGTAAGAAGCAAATTTAGGATTTGTCAAAGTCAAATCAAAGATAAAGCTTTGTCAAGAGTCAAGAGTCAAGATAAAGCTCTGGACTGAAAATGAAGCAGGAATAATAACGGACAGTTATGTTCTTCCTTTCAGTTGCTCTTCACTCCTAAACTGGAGAGATAAGCAAGCTACATCTGTTCCTTCATGCGTTCTTTCTCCTGGCCCTACTACCCTTCTCTGGCTTGTCTGTCTTTTCTTTCTTTCTCTCTTTCTTTCTTTCTTTCTCTCTCTCTCTCTCTCTCTCTCTCTCTTTCTTTTTTTGACACAGGCTTTTTTGACTCCAGTCTGTTGCCCAGGCTGGAGTCCAGGCCTGTCATCCAGGCTGGAGTGCAGTGGCACGATCTCAGCTCACTGTGACCTCTGCCTCCTGGGTTCAAGCAATTCTCCTGCCTCAGCCTCCAGAGTAGCTGGGATTACAGGCACTAGCCACAATGCCCAGCTAATTTTTGTATTTTTGTAGAGATGGGGTTTTGCCATGGTGGCCAGGCTGGTCTCAAACTCCTGACCTCAGGTGATCCACCTGCCTTGGCCTCTCAAAGTGCTGGGATTACAGGCGTGAGCCACTGCGCCTGGCCCTCTGGCTTGTCTTTCAAAGAAAAAAGACAAAAGTGCTGGGATTACCTGCATGAAAAAAGACAAAGTGCTGGGATTACAGGCATGAGCCACCACACCTGGCCCTCTGGCTTGTCTTTCAAAGAAAAAAAAAAAAAAGCCTCCATTACAGCTTGCCAGCTGCAAGGGAGAAATTAAGGGGGAAAAATGCTAACTTCTTGCACCAATTACCAAAAGACCTCAGAATTTATTGTTCTACTATATTTTAATGTTTTGTTTTTAGAAATTCGAGCATTCTAAATCCCAGACATTTGACTTTAAAGAATCTCTGTGCCAGCAGAAGTTATATTCAACATTTTGTGTGTGGGCACACAGTTTTTATCAAATTTATTTTAGTCTGTGATTCCCTCACCACACCGAATGGAGGAGTATCATGTTCTCCCATGAAGTTAGAATTTGGAGCAACATCTTGCTAATTAGAAGTTATATCAATGTAAACTGTCAAATGCCAAGTATTTGTTGGTATATTTAAAAAGAGAAAGAAATACAAAACAAATAATTAACATTAAATACTTTAATTAATGTATGGTTTATAGTTAAGTCCAGATATGATCCAATCTTCTATACCTTCTTCATATTGGAGACTGCATACTAGAAATGAATAGTCATAATCTTGACCTTAAATCATTGCAAAATTATGAATTTACATTTACATTATCAAATAAAAATTATATTATGCCAATATAGTTTAGTGTTAATTTGAAAACGAGTAACCCACGAATTGCCTATTTATAAGTTTTCTGTATTGCCTTATCCTCAAGTATAATATCCTGCCTAATCATCAGGAGATTCCTTATAAGCAGGAAGAACAAAACTAAGGACTGCTTTGTCTGTTCTCCGAGTCTTTAGAGTTGGTTGGTTGTAGCTGATGCACGCTAAATGTGAGACTTGGGCTCTCATGGTCAGCTCACTGGGGTCCCGTTGTCACCTGCATCTCCAAGATTACCAAGGTCGGTCTCTTCCGCCCTCTCTCCCCCTCTCTCTCCCTCTCTCCCTCCCGCCCTCCCTTCCTCTCTTCTTCCCTTCCTTCTCTCTCTCTCTCACACACACACCCTCCACACACACGCTTCATGGATATACTGTCCCTCCACTAACGCACCACTCGCTCCTCACAGCACAACTTGGATCAAAGTCTCAGACCCCTGAAGATCTCTCGCATGGGGTCGCCATTCTTCCTGCTTTGTGCTCAAGGCGCAGGACCTGGAGTTCTCAGTTTCCAAGCAAGACTGGTCGAGTCTAAGTCGGATTGGCTGCGATAGAACGAGATTATACCAAATCACAAAGCTAGGATTTTCATCTCTGTCTTAGTCTCCGCCCTCGAATCCCGGCAACAGGGCGCTGTGTGTTTTTCTGAGAGGAACCCGGCCTGGGGTTGCTATGGAGATAGGACGCAGCAACTTACAGAGCAACCAGGACCCAGAAATCGCTTAAGAGACCGCGGCAAAGTAACTGAACTGAGTTGCCTTCTCCCATATTTTCACGCCCCTTTCATCCAGAACATTTTTTCTCGAACTGCTTCCATGGAAGACTCAACCTCCCCGAAGCAAGAAAAAGAAAACCAAGAAGAACTAGGGGAAGCAAGGCGGTCATGGGAAGGAAAGACAGCAGCTTCTCCCCAATATTCTGAGCCTGAGTCGTCTGAGCCCTTGGAGGCGAAGCAGGGGTCAGAAACTGGACGCCAGTCCCGAAGCAGCCGTCCTTGGAGCCCCCAGTCTAGAGCCAGGACGCCTCTGGGTGGCCCCGCGGGGCCAGAAACATCATCACCTGCTCCTCTCTCTCCGCGGGAGCCCTCTTCCACTCCTTCTCCCCCGGCTCCGGCCAGACAAGACCTCGCGGCACCACCTCAGTCACACAGGACCACGAGTGTGATTCCTGAAGCTGGAACACCTTATCCTGATCCTTTGGAACAATCATCTGATAAAAGAGAATCAATTCCTCTTCACACAAGCCAATCAGAGCGAAACACCTTTCAACAGTCTCAGCAATCCAAACCCCACCTGTGTGGACCAAGGGACGTGAGCTCTAACAATGCTAAACAGAAAGAGCTGAGATTTGACGTTTTTCAGGAGGCAGACTCAAACAGTGACTGTGATTTACAGCTGCCTGCCCCTGGGGGCTCCGAAGGGGCCCCCAGCATGCTTGAGACCACCATTCAGAATGCTAAGGCTTACCTGCTGAAGACTAGTAGCAAGTCGGGCTTTAATCTGTAAGTCTCAGAGGGAAAAAAGATAAAAGTTTGGCAAAGCAAGAGGGTATGTGAGTATCTCTGTGTGAGAGTGTGTTTCTGTGAGTGAATCAAAATATATTTGAAAAGATTGTATTAGTAAAAGAGAGTTAATGACATAAGTCTGGATCACATGACTCAAAACAGGCCATTAATGGAGATTCTTATGCCTTCTTTTTCTTAACCTTTTTTTTTTTTTTTTTTTTTTTTTTTTTTTTTTTTTTTTTGCTTTTCGTGCAGCTTCTTCAAAGATCCTAGGCACACACAATAAATAAAACTTAGGAATTATGGAGTCTCGGGCTTGAAAGATATCATAAAGACCATAAAGTCCAAGCATCTCTCCAGGATACTTGTGAAAAATAACTGTCTACCAGTGAAAGCAATCATATGTCTCTCATCTGTAGATGCTATGGCTTCCATGGCTTTTGAGTTCCCAACCCAGGCTGTGCTAGGGTGACCACCATCTCAGTTTGGCTGAGCGCTGAAAGTTCTTTATCCTAAGAAACCCCTTAGTCCTCACAAACTAGGAGAACTGGTCACTATACAAGCCACCTGGAACACATGCCATTTTATCCAAGTCTCTTAAAATGTGATGATCAATAGTCTACATATGTTCTGCCCATCCCATTATAGCTTTAATTTTAGAACTTACGACAGTGTAGATTTCTATAGATTTTTGCTTCCAGAGTTACATAATGATAGGGTCAATAGTATTTTAGGGCTAGAAGGGATTTTAGAAAACATCTAATACAACTCATTTGTTTTTGTAAATGAGGAGACCAAGTCATGGAGAACCTAATTTGCTCAAGATTCCAGTGGCTGACAACACTTACAGACTCTTACCTCTCCCTTCATCACTCAGCTCCAGCCCCATGGCTGTTCCCTGGGCCCAGAAGGCTTCTTTTCTAAGTCTTTGTCTGGCTGGCTCCTCATTCGTCGGAACTCAACTTCCATGGAACACTACTAAAAAGCTTATTCTTTTCCTTCATAGCATTTAATGTCATTTATAGTTGTATATACAGAGAGATAGACTTATATTTGATTATCTGACTCTCCCACTAGATTGCAGGCCCCCAGAGGGTAGGGACTCGGAATTTTGTATACCACTATATACTTAGTGGTAGCACAATGCCAGCAACTATTAATTGAGTAAGAAGAAATGAATGCTTTTTATGTTCTTTCACTCTACAACAACCAACATAGAAGACTTCTTGTTGTTGCTGTTGGTTTTGTCTTTGTTTTGAGACGGAGTCTGCTTTGTCGCCTGGGCTGGAGCGTAGTGGCACCATCTCGGCTCATTGCAGCCTCTGCCTCCTGGGTTCAAGTGATTCTCCTACCTCAGCCTCCCAAGTAACTGGGATTACAGGTGTGAGCCACTGTGCCCAGCCTCAACACAGAAGACTTCTGTGACAGAATGTTTGGGGTTCTGTTTTCCTATCCACAAGCAAGCAATCACTTCTGCAGTGGGCACCAACTAGGTGTCCTCTGATTCAATTCTGACATATCCACCTGGAGATAGCGTCAGATCCCACAGGTTGAGGGCTCAATCCCACAAGACTTCCCCACACTTCCAATGCCAATCACAAGCCCCAGGCTGATTAACCTGTGCTTCTGACCAACCAGCTATAAATCAGGGATCCCACAACTCCCTCCTTGGGTTCGACTGATGTGCTAGAGTGGCTCACAGAACTCAGGGAAACACTAATATTACTGGTTTATTATAAAGGATATTACAAAGGATGCATATGAAGAGGTATTGGGTAGGGAGTGCAAAGCTTCCATGCCCTCTCTGGGAAGGCCACCCTCCAGCAACCTCCATGTGCTCAGCTGGCAGACGCTCCCCGAAACCTGTTCTCTTGGGTCTTTTATGGAGATGTTATTGGATAGGCATGATTGATGACTGTGTAGAAACGTGACTTATAGGGGTATAATCTAATGCTAAGAGACTGAGTGGGGAGACCCAGCAAGGCCTATCCAGATTCTTCTTGGCCTCTCTGTGGAGCATTCTTTCCTCCTTGATATGGAGCAGGACCTCTTTTGAAATGCGGGTCTTATGACCGTCAATCAGACAAAGTAGGTTAGAGAATTTCATTATGGCCAGACGTGGAGAAAGGTTAGAGTATACTTTCAGTTTCTAAGGCCTATCTTGGGGAGAAATGAAAAGTGGTATGAGACTTACGAGTCAGAAACTATGCATGAAAACCAATGTATATAAATCATAATTCCCAAGTTTTCACCATAATCTATTGGGGTGCTTCCTGATTAATCAGTAAATATTAATTAAATGCCTACTGAGTATACATTGTGGCAAATATTTACAGCTATTACTAGGCTTTAAAATATAGGAGATAAAATTGTAAAGTCTAATGAATAAAAACATTAATGTATGATGTGAGAAATCTCATGAAATGTGAGATCAGTTTGAAATACTATTTATTAGTTAATTTTTTTTTTTTTTTGAGACAGAGTCTCGCTCTGTCCCCCAGGGTGGAGTGCGGTAGCACGATCTTGGCTCACTGTAAGCTCTGCCTCCCAGGTTCACGCTATTCTCCTGCCTCAGCCTCCCGAGTAGCTGGGACTACAGGTGCCCGCCACCACACCCAGCTAATTTTTTTTTTTTTTTTTGTATTTTTAGTAGAGACGTGGTTTCACTGTGTTAGCCAGGATAGTCTCGATCTCCTGACTTCATGATCCGCCTGCCTCTGCCTCCCAAAGTGTTGGGATTACAGGCGTGAGCCACCACACCCAGCCTATTAGTTAATATTTTAAACTACAATTTACTTAAGCTGCAAGAATGTAATTTGCTACCCTGTAGTGGATTCTACTTGAATTTCTGATATAAACTTCTTGACATATTGCCCTATGTTAGATAACAAGCATGAATTTACAAACTATTAAAATTGCAAAGGAATACATTACAAATACTTGTGAGTTCACTAACAATTTAAAACTGAATGCAAAAACATGAGAAATTTTTCTTTATTGAATTATTTTATATTTTATAATTGATATTACTTACATATCTAAATTTAATTTTATTTCCAAATGCTGTCTCTGAGGTAATAAGTGAATGTCTTCCATAATATTCACTGCTATCCTCTAAGTACTTTAGTGCCTGCAGTTCAAAATTGTTTAGTAAAAGATGACTAACTCCATCTCTTATATGCAGATCTAATTTGACAGCCATAAAAGCTATTTTTCATGGCAATTTAAACAGTCTTTGACTGAAATATGGAATCCGAAAATGGTTTTTCGTCATTGAATTAAAAGGCTATAGTAAAGAATTGCTTGCTCCTTTTCTTCCATTAAAAAAATAAATTGTTAATCCTCCCTAATAGAAAAAACTATAATTGTAAATTAAAACCTAATACATATATTTCGTAATTTGACACAAAGGCATTTTCAGGTGTGGACTTGAATAAAGCACATATATGCATTATATTGAAACCTGAAAAATAAAATGAAAATTTGGATTGAGAGTCCCTAATTTGATGCCATCCACATCTGCTACTGAAGCAGATCAAACCCTTTCATTATTAACCCGGCTATTGCCCGATAACCAACAGTGTTTTTCGTCTGGAGTCTTCTCCATGAGTTTTCTTTTTCTTTTCTTTTCGAGACGGAGTCTCACTTTGTCACTCATGCTGGAGTGCAGTAGCATGATCTAGCTCACTGCAACCTCCGCCTCCCGGGTTCAAGTGATTCTCCTGACTCAGCCTCCCAAGTAGCTGGAATTACAGGTGCCTGCCACCACACCTGATTAATTTTTGTTTTTTTAATAGAGACGGGGTTTTACCATGTTGGTTAGGCTGGTCGTAAATTCCTGACCTCCGGTGGTTCACCCACCTCTGGCTCCCAAAGTGCTGGGATTACAGGCAGCCACTGCGCCCAGCCTTCTCCATGAGTTTCAACAGTGCATGAATATTAAGGAAGCTTGATGAAGTTTTAAAGAAACTCCTAGTCAAAACATTTCTGTTCATTTACAAGAATTATTTGAGGAAGGAATTTTATATTCTTCAAATACTGTATAATATTTTTAACTGCCCTTTACATTGATCTCCCATATAATATACATATTTTTCTTTGACATTTCTGAGGTCATTAGATAAATATAGACATTAAATGAAAAAGAAAAAGCAAAAAATACAGCTTGGGTCAATTAATAGAAAGTAGGCAATTATTGAAAAACTGTTTATTTTGTTTCACTATAATAAGAGAGGAGATATACAAAATCCTAATCTTGGCCGTGAAGAACCTACTGCAGTTGCTGAATAGGAAATATATAATGTAATAACATTTCAGAGCAGCATATCATTGTTCTCAGGAAGAACCCTCTGAATCGGGGAAGGATGATTTTGGGGAATGACTTGAGTGCTAAGTCCCTAAGAATGAAAGGAGTTTTAAATTATTTTTTCAGAGAAATTATATATATGGTTCACAGCAAGCAAAAGCTCCCAGGTAGAACTTAGCAAATATATGAAAGTAATTTTATTAGAAGGTCTAAATGAACTAATAATTAGAAACAAAGTTGGAGACATACAATGCGTATCCACCAGAGAAGCAATTTATACAAATTTCCACATCGAACAGAGGAGTTTTTTCTCAAGAAAAGAGCACTTTGACAGGACACAGGAACACTTTGACAGACATTTTGGCCTCTTAACATTCACTTTGTAATTCTGGTATTTGAAAAAGCAAACACTAGCAGTTCTATATAAAATGTAATAAATTACTGAGAGGATAGAGGCAATTTCACTAATTCAGTTGTGAAATAAAAATCTAGGGCAGTGTTTGTAATAGAATAGAACAAAATGTTAGATTGTATCACATTTCAATAAAGGTAAGTAATATTTAATGGCACTTTTTTGTTGTGTGTAAGTGGATGTTACAATATGAAATGCAAGATGCTCTGAGAAACACTGAAGTACCAATTGGCTTAAAAAAATGGAAAGAAACAGAACCGATCTTAAAGACAGAGTCAACAGGATTAGAAATCAAATTGGATTGGGTGAGGGCAGGGGAAGGGGAATGGAAAAGAAGTTATAGTAAACAGTGAAAAATAATGTTAATCACTTTTAAATATATAACCAAAAGATTGTAATTTCAGAAATAAAATGTGAAAATGTGCCTGATGTGGAATATGTATCATGCTCTAAAATGTTTTTCTTTAATAACTTAAACATCCTTATTATATTAGAATCATTTCCTGAGGAAAACTCTAGGATAAGTTATTTCTGGCATAGTAAAAACTACCTTAAGTGTTATCCACTGAAAATCTCTGAAGACTTTCAGTTATTGAAGTTCCCTAAAAACAAACTAACTGAGTCTGCAAATAGCTGTTCAATAATTGCCTACTTTCTATTAATTGACCTAAGCTATATTTTTTCTTTTTTTGTTTTTCATTTAACGTCTATATTTATCTAATGACCTCAGAAATGTCAAAGAAAAATGCTTCTTCAAATGCTCTTGACATGTATATTATCTGGAATTTTCTGTTTGGATAGATATGATCATCTTTCTAATATGTTGACCAAGATATTAAATGAGCGTCCTGAAAATGCTGTCGACATCTTTGAAAATATTAGCCAAGATGTGAAGATGGCACATTTTAGTAAAAAATTTGATGCACTCCACAATGAGAATGAGATGCTTCCAACATATGAAATAGCAGAAAAGCAAAAGGCTCTTTTTCTCCAGGGACATTTGGAAGGAGTTGACCAAGAATTGGAAGATGAAATAGTAAGTCACTACTATAAATTTTAATAATTAAATCTTAGGATTTTATTTGGGATGAATAGCTGTGGCTTTAAATTCATACCAACTGTATTTTATAGCTTTTCTTTTTTTAGACAGGTGCCCAGGCTTGGAGTACAATGGCACGATCCTGGCTCACTGCAGCCTCTACCTCTCAGGGTCAAGCGATTCTCCTCCCTCAGCCTCCTGAGTAGCTGGGACTTTAGGCACGTGCCACCATGCCCAGCTAATTTTTGTATTTTTAGTAGAGATGGGGTTTCGCCATATCGACCAGGCTGGTCTCAAACTCCTGACCTCAAGTGATCTGCCTACCTTGGCCTCCCAGAATGTTGGGATTACAGGAGTGAGCCACTGCACCTGGCCTTTATAGCTTCTTACATAGTATTTGCATCTTATTTTTGGAAAGTATCTTCAAGCCTTCTTTAGTCAACCTCATTTCACACTACTCATTTCCTTGATTAGGGATTTCTTGTTTTATCATACTGTGTTTTAGTATTTTGCAAGCTAAAACAGATTGTTATAGGTTTGTATGCTAAGTTTCTTAATATTAGAGAAAAGGATTTCTTCACATTTTATATTCTCCAAGGTGCCTGGTGCAGATCTAGATGTACAGCTATCTTTTGCTAAAGATTTGTTGAATAATGAATAAATGTTAGCTAATTAAAAATCAGGTTTTAAATCAAGTTGCATATTTATTAGAAAATTCAGAAGCACTTCTAATGTCATTTGTATTTTCTTCTAAGACAAGCTCCTTATGTTATGACTTGATATTATGTATATTACATCAATGGGACGTAATACAAGAGGAGAGGAGTAAAATACTTTTTTAAATCGTCATAGACAAAATGTTGAAAATATTTGGAGTTGGTGACAGAGATTGAAAAAAGCTATAATTAGAGAATAAAATCTTATATATCAAAGAAATTTTAATTTCAAATATTTCATAATAGTATTGGCTATTCTGTTTCCTAAATACTCATATACTTGTAATTTGTACACATCTGCTGAACTTACGTTCTGTTACCACTAGATTATTTAAGATGTGTCTATATACTTTCAAATTTGATGTTTGGAGTAAGGTATTTTCAAAATAGCACTCTGTCAGGGAAGAGAGAAGAGAGACAGTAGATGCTGTCTCTAGGCTAAGCAGCCTACGAGGAGAGAGCTAACTGACAGTAAGATCTGTAGTACTCATACAAAAGGAACAGGTGATAGGTGTCAAGGAGTTGACATTGGACAGTTTCAACAAGGTGGCAGTTGGTTCTGTAGCCATATCCAGTGATGATGAGTCTGGGAGCGAACAGCATATGGAGATGAGGCAGATAGGCAGGCATTCTCATGCAGGAGTTAATCAAAGAAACTTCAGACTTCAGGGTAAGAATGGGTGCCCTTTATAGGCACAGCATTACAAGGTAGGACTTTGCGTCCTAAAACTAGGATATGGGGTGAGAATACAAATAAGCTGTTTTGATCATGGGACCTGGGCCCTTTAACTAGATTCCATAAATCTTCCTCATAAGGGATAAGATTGGCTTTACAGCCTGGAACAGCTGAGTCATCAGGTGAAGATTAAAAGCTCCACCTCAGAAAGTAGAAAGATGCAGGAACAGATAGACAGAGAGGTCTCTCTGATGCATTGAAATATGAACTACATGACCAACCCTGTCCCTGACTTACATGTTTAGAGTGTTCATGTTTTTATTCCTGCCTTTAACCACACCAGAATTCATTTGCTTAGTCTTCAGCATTCATTTATTCATTCACCCATTTATTCATACACAATGTGACTACTGCATTCCGAGTACTGAGATACACATGGGAAAAAGACTTTTCTGACTTTAAGTTGCTTACAATTTAGAGAAAGGCAAAAAAGACTGGAAAGCCATTTGATTACTGCAATAAAGAGCTAGCCTCATTTGATGGAGTAAACATGGGCTTTGGAGGTAGCCAGATCTGAGTTAGAATCCTAGTTCAACTAGCTTGCTAGTTGTGTGATTTTGAGCAAGAGGCTAAACTTTCCAAGCCTTAAGGACAATCAAATGGCAAAAACCTGAGGGGTGGATGTAGTATATATAAAGGATTTGGCCTATAATAGGAACTTAATAGTAGCAATTATTATTATATTGTTTTGACAACATGATAAATGACAGAATGGAACAACTAACTCTGCTATTGGTAATTGGGCAAGGCTTTTTAGTGGAGGTAATACTTCATTTGGGCCATGAAGGATAAGCAGGAGTTCACCAGGTGAAGACTCTTAGAAGTTAAATTCTTAGAAAAAAGAACAATAAAATAATCAGGAAAGATTATTTGATGTTTGGAAAAGTCGAGTGTGGGTCTGAGGGAGTGATTGATGGAAATGAAGCAAACAGAGTGCTTAAAGCCAGACTGTTCTTTGTGCGTTGATAAGTAACTTCTTTCTTGTAAACAGTAAGAAGTTTTTAAATAGAGAATAGCATGGTCTGACTTTTGGTTTAGAAAGATAACTCTGATCATAATATGAAAGATAATGAAAAAAGAAAGGTAGAATGGGGCCGGGAGGAGAGCGTTAGAAGCCTTCTGCTATAGCACAAGTAGTGAGGATGGTGACTAATGCAGTATAAATGAATACAAGAGGAGGAAATAATGCCAACAAATTTTTATGTGCTAGAATCAATAGGAATCTAACTACTTAAATATTGAAGGTCAAGGAAGTCAGAGGAAACAAAGATGACCAAACTTTCTGGTGTGAGAAACTGAGATGTCACTGGTGAAGAAAGAGTACATAGAAAAAAGAGAAAACTTCGAGAGAAACGTGAATTAAATATTAAACTGAGGTATTTTTAGAATACTTAAGTGAAATTTATCAGAAGTGGCTAGAAATATGTGTAGAATATGGAAGAAAATCAGAGTTAAAGAAACTTTAAACAGCCACTTATCACTTGAAGTGGTGTGGAGAACTCTTCCAAGCATAAAGTGTTGAGAGATGCGATGAGTGAAAAGGATATTTTAACAACGTCAACATTTGGAGCTCAAGAAATAAGGGAGCAATTAAAGAGACTTAAGATGAAATAATTCTAAAGGGCCAAATAGGATAGGTACAGCAAATGTCAAGGAAAGACTTTTGCAATCCTACATCAAGGCGATGAGGATTTTAAAAAGTCATTATACTTATTTTGACACTACAATTATAATATAAATAATAGCATATCATTTGTAAGAATAGCAGAGCTCTCAAGTTCTTCATCTTGAGGGTCAAGGTTTGTCTTGCAAGTTTTCTTGACCTATAGTTGAAGTTCTTTCCTACTTTTTCACAAATGTGTTTCTTTTTCTTTCTTTCTTTTTTCTATTTTTTTTTGAGATGGAGTCCTCTCTGTGATCCAGGCTGGAGTGCAGTGGCGTGATCTCGGCTTACTGTGAGCTCTGCCTGTTGGGTTCACGCCACTCTCCTGTCTCAGCCTCCCGAATAGCTGGGACTACAGGTGCCCGCCACCACACCCGGCTAATTTTTTGTGTTTTTAGTAAAGATGGAGTTTCACCATGTTAGTCAGGATGGTCTTGCTTGTGATCTGCCTGACTCGGCCTCCCAAAGTGCTGGGATCACAGACGTGAGCCACCACGCCCAGCCTTCACAAATGTGTTTCTATGGTTCATTTGAGACTCTGCTTATTCATTTCTCTGTATTTCTTTTGTGGAATTTTTTTATTTCTCTCATTTTAAATTCAAAATAATTTATTATAAGTAGGAGGAGCATCTGACTACATTATGTCTTCAAGTATAGACATGAGTACTTTATTATATGTTCCTTTTATTTATTCCATACATTACATTACACAGGATACTATATTAATTTTTAGTGGTCCTATATATATAAAATCATGCACTTAATAAATGTTTATTATTTTTAAAGATATATAGTAATATAGACATATGTAAAACCATATTTTGTTCTAAATATATGTGTACATAGTTATTCTACATCTTATTTTAGGATAGTAAGGGAGTCACTTAAATATTTTTTATAAAACAGGAATGTTGAATTTTTATTATTCATACTGATTATTAAATTTTCTCTACCTATGTACATAAACAAGGTAGCTATTATACATTAATGAGTATAAGATACAAGAGAAGCTACATTTATAAATAATGAGAGAAGAACAGAGATTCAGGAATTATCATACTTTGATCTAAGTATTTTTGTTTTTTGACATGAAGTCTCACTCTGTTGCCTAGGCTGGAATGCAGTGGTGCAATCTCAGCTCATTGCAACCTCCTCCTCCTGGGTTCAAGTGATCCTCCTGCCTCAGCCTCCCAAGTAGCTGGTACTACACACAGGCACCACCATGCCCAGCTAATTTTTGTATTTCTATTAGAGACGGGGGTCTCACCATGTTGGCCAGGCTGGTCTTGAACTCCTGAGCTCAGGTGATCCACCCACCTCAGCCTCCCAAAGTGCTGGGATTACAGGTGTGAACCACCGTGCCCAGCCAATTTGATCTAAATCTTGAGAGAAATGTCAAAGAAGTGGTGGAGAAAGTAGAATATCAAGATACATAAAAAAGGCAAGGGAAGCAAGCATTTGTCTTATCGATAAATTTTAACCACAGCATTTGTTTCCGCAGGCAGAAAACGCTCTTCCAAATGTAATGGAGTCAGCTTTTTATTTTGAACAAGCTGGAGTTGGTTTGGGCACAGATGAGACCTACCGCATATTTCTTGCCCTCAAACAGCTTACTGACACCCACCCAATCCAAAGATGCCGCTTCTGGGGAAAGATCTTGGGTCTGGAAATGAATTATATTGTAGCTGAAGTGGAGTTTCGTGAGGGGGAAGATGAAGAGGAAGTGGAAGAGGAAGATGTGGCTGAAGAGAGGGACAATGGAGAAAGTGTAGCTGATGAAGATGAGGAAGATGAATTGCCAAAATCCTTTTACAAGGCCCCACAGGCTATACCAAAAGAAGAAAGTAGAACAGGTGCCAACAAATATGTCTATTTTGTTTGCAATGAACCAGGAAGACCATGGGTGAAGTTACCACCAGTTATACCTGCACAAATTGTAATTGCAAGAAAAATCAAGAAATTTTTCACTGGGCGATTGGATGCTCCCATCATAAGCTACCCACCTTTCCCAGGAAATGAGAGTAATTATTTACGAGCGCAAATTGCCCGAATTTCAGCAGGAACCCACGTCAGTCCTCTAGGATTTTATCAGTTTGGTGAAGAGGAAGGAGAGGAAGAAGAAGAGGTAGAAGGTGGGCAAAACAGCTTTGAGGAAAACCCTGATTTCGAAGGCATCCAAGTGATTGATCTAGTAGAATCCCTATCCAATTGGGTTCATCATGTACAGCATATTCTCTCTCAGGTAGGAGCTTTGCAGTTCTCAATCTATCAGGTAATTAAGCAAATATTCATTAAATTATCACTATAATGCATGAAGATATACAAAATAAAGGCCTTTGGATTCTATTTAATAGGCAGGAAAAGAGATAATGAAAAACACAGCCAAAAATGCAGAGTAATATAAAATTCCGGTGTCTATATAATTGTCTATATAACTGAAGGTCCCAGGGATCTCCAAACACATTTTCTATTTGAAAATAAAACACATTCTTCTGTGGAACATTTGACAAATGATGTACAGATTTAGATTTGTGTGTTCTGCAATTACGCAATTTTTTTTATATGTTTAATATAGATGGGTACATTAATTTTGAAAACAGTTCTTTAATTTTATCTCTATAATACATGTAGCTTTTATGTCAAGAACAGTAAGGGATTATAACAAAAACAAAAAACAAAGTAACAGTGCTATATAGCAGTTATGTAACACCTATTGTTCCAGATGTGCATGTGTTTGTGTGTGTGTGTATAAGATTTAATCTTTACAACAACCCCATGAAACAGTATTATTATCCTCAATTTTCAGATGGGGACATAGAAACAGAGAGTTTAGGAAATGTGACAAAAGGAACATAGCTAATAAGGAACAGAATCAGATGTGAGACTGCACAGAATGGACCCAGTGCATCCACTTAACCCTTGTGCTATACTACCTCATCTGCAGGTAGAAAATCTTCATTATACTTTGATCTAGATAAGAGATACTCTTAGCTTTCTCTACATAAAAGTTAACTAAATGAGACATTATAAACCCTAAACCTCCATAAATAATCTTATTACCACATTTAAATGTTATTGTTAATAATCATTATCATAATAGCTTCAGCTCTCTCATAGATTATTTACCACAAACCAGTAAAATAACACTCTTACCTTTTTCACTAAGGTTCTGCTAATTTTAAAATGTAAGTGATAATTTTAAAATACACATTCTGTGACTTCAAGAATTTGGCAAATTCTCAAAATAAATAGCATGGCTTTTTCCTTGAAACAACCTAGATGAAACTAGCACTTGGAAAATGTACATAGAATGAATGAATGAATAATCGATTAAATTCCCAGAGTGACACTTCATCCTGATCAATTCAAATGAATGTTCTGAAATTTTAAGGTCCCCATTAGACTACTAAATCTTGTAACATTCATTCCTAGGGTCGCTGTAATTGGTTCAACTCCATACAAAAAAACGAGGAAGAGGAGGAGGAAGGAGAGGAAGAAGATGAAGAAAAAGAAGAGCCTGACTACATAGAACAGGAAGTGGGGCCTCCTCTTTTGACATCAATCTCTGAAGATTTAGGTTATTTTACATAACTATTATCACACACACACAAACAACATAATATACTATGTGCGTTATATAGTAAATATGAGAGTTGGAAAGCTCTAAAAAGTGAACAAGAGCCAAGGTCTCATCCTCTTCCCATTTGTGTTCTGGGATGATAGGGAGTGAAGAATATAGCTGGCCACATCAATGTTGTCTGACAGAGGTTGAAGGAGTCATGTAGAGAGGAAACATAAGTTGGCTGTAGCGCTTTCTGGAAATGTTGACAATTGTCTCCTTTATTATTCTTGTCTTGCATTCTGCGGACCATAAACAAATGGCATAAATATTCTTGGTCCTGGTTTTTAAAAACTCTACTCTCATTCCTATATTATTTCTTTCCCTTCAGTTTTGGAGTATTTGTGCTTGCAACCCTTGATCTCATTTAATAATAATATAACTTTCATTAGGCCATCAAATACTACTCACTCTACCACACAAGCCTCCTTTCCCTTAATAAAACTTCTTGTCTTGGTTGCAAAAATGGAGATATATATTTCAAATTCCATTGTTCCAAAACATTCATGAAGTACCCTCCTGATTTTGTTAAGCTGCTGCTGTTTTTCCTTTCTATATCAAATATGTGTGTATCTGTGTTTGTGCATGCATGTGTGGATTTAAAAAAATAGCTTACACAGTAGATTCTTGTCTAGTCAGGAATTAAGCTTTTGCATTTCTCTTTGGGTTCCAGAGATTCAGAATATACCCCCTTGGACAACACGGTTATCCTCAAATCTCATTCCACAATATGCTATTGCAGTCCTTCAATCCAACCTTTGGCCTGGAGCATATGCCTTCTCCAATGGCAAGTAAGTATCTGACCACTTATAAAGCCATTTCTGTGATTAGTTAAGCTCTGGAAATTATAAATAACCACTACAATGTTAAGCTACTATCATTGTTTTCTTGTTGTTGTTTTGTTTTGTTTTTTTTTGAGATAGAGTCTTGCTCTGTCACCCAAGCTGGAGTGCAGTGGCATGATCTCAGCTCACTGCAACCTCCGCCTCCTGGGTTCAAACTATTCTCCTGCCTCAGCTTCCCCAGTAGCTGGGATTACAGGCATGCACCACTGTGCCCAGCTAATTTTTGTATTTTTGTTTTTTTAAGTAGATACGAGGTTTCACCATGTTAGCCAGGCTGGCCTCAAACTCCTGATCTCATGATTCACCCCTCCTCGGCCTCTCAAAGTGCTGGGATTACATGTTTGAGCCACCATGCCTGGCCACTACTATCGTTTTAATGCATCTTTGGCATATTATGTGTGTTTGGCATAAAATTTATTAAAATAACATCTGTGATACACAATAAAACATCAAATTCAGGACATTAAGTAGTAATTCGGACTTCTACCCTTTCATCTTAATTATCAGTTTGTTGAAATAAAATATGGTTTTTCATCAATGATTATTTGGGTAATGACTTATTCATTCACTTAGAAGATTAATGGAGGTATTTCTAAGCTGTATTTAAATTAGTTTAAATCTCAGATCATTTTTGTTGGAAATCTTGATAAAAGATAATTAAAATAGGCTATCGCTTTCAAAGGAATTAAGATCAAGAGGACACTGAAAATAATTTTATCCCTTACCTAGAACATATACTTCTATTTGTCTTATGTTTCCATTTCTTTCCTAATAACCCAGTGTCAGAAGCTTAGCTTATCTGGAGAGAAAGCTGAGCAGCCAGGTGTTAGAGTAGCCATTAAAGCACAACAAGCTAAAAATGAGAGTTAAGCCTTCAATCATTTACTGTGATAGTATAAGCAAGAGAAAGCTTTGACATCCCCGTTCCATTTTCCCCCATGGAATGACCCTCTAGTGGAGAGTCAGGTGGATCAGCACAGATATGGCTATCATAGATGTGGAGGTGCTGGGGTCATCTCATTGACAAGGGAATCCTCAAATGGCTCCTGCAGTTTTACAGACCTGGAGACCAAGAGGAGGATGAGAGGGGCTGGAAGTGAAAAAGTGCTGAGCACAGAGAGCAGAGAAAGGAGGGGCTGGAAAGGTCTCTGCTGAAGGCCTCAGATAAAGAGACCTAGGAATGGAAGCACTTGGTCTAGGAATGCAAACATTGAAGAGCATGACTAGCCAAAGGGGCCAGCATCCTTGACTGCAACTTCCCGTAAAGACAGCAATGCATTGTACTCCAAGTCTGGTGTGCCAGGTAAACTCTTTGTGATTGCCTATGGTCATACCTAAAAAAAGTAACACATAGGTTTCTAACTACAAGCCCAACTCCTTGCCCAGGTAGGGTCTGCAGGGTTAGCTATTTTTAAATCTTCCTAACTTTGTGGAAGGTAATAACTTTTTTTTTCCTCCCCTGAAAATAATTGAAGGAAGAAAGGCTTTTGCTTGTGGTCTAGGTGTAGGGTACATTTTAACAGTGTCTAGTCCCACAATTTTTTTTTAACCAGCTTAAGCAGTTTGAATGAAAACAATTTCCTGTGGTAGAAAAATCACTGAGGAATATTTTACTTCTAGCATTTTACATGTATTGCTTTTTAAATTATAGGACCATGATATTCTAAGTACTTTAATATTACAGAAGGGTCCATTTTTCTGAGAAATTATATAATGATCTTTTTTTCTTTCCTCTTTTTTTTTTTTTTTTACTTACAGAAAATTTGAAAATTTCTACATAGGTTGGGGTCATAAATATAGTCCAGACAATTATACACCCCCAGTTCCACCACCAGTTTATCAAGAATACCCCAGTGGACCAGAAATTACAGAAATGGATGACCCCAGTGTGGAGGAGGAGCAAGCTTTCAGGGCTGCACAAGAAGCAGTTCTACTTGCAGCTGAGAATGAAGAATCTGAGGAAGATGAAGATGAGGAAGATGATTATGACTAATAAACATAAAATTAGCCTGGTTTTATGTGACACTGATACACACATACCCCTTATATGAGACTAATTTTACACTTTTCTGTGTGTGTGTATACATACACATGTCAGAAATTATTCAACTGCAAAAGTCAATCTTGAAAATATCAAGCTTGAAATTTCATATGTAGAAATATTAACATTTTTATTGAAAGATACTCATGGGATTTTCCAGAGGCTAAATAATATGCAATCAAATCATTGTTCTGAGGGGTTATGGATAATGGAATATGTGCTCGTACATTTTTGTTTTTAAAAGGGCTTAGGTTTCACATGGTCCAGGTGAGGTAAAACAATTAAAATAAATAAATAAATGGTCTCAGGTTTAATTTGTAATATGACAAACACTGGAAGATACAACCCACAGGAAATTCTTGGACACATCAATACTTTTTTAAAGAGTGTCAAGGGGTATGAAAACAAAAAATATTGTTACTAAAGTAATGTATTGTTAACCTTTGTTAAGAACTGATCTCAGCATGTATTCTTAAACCTTTGTAATTACCTATGGTCGTGACTGTGATATTGTGTGCAAACACTGTATAGCATATATATTCATTTTTCCTGCTTGAGATAGTATCATAATTCCATCACCTGCTTAAAACTGTAGGGAACACTGAATTATTTTATTTTTATTTTTTTGGTGGGGAGGTGGTTGGGACAGAGTCTCTGTCGCCAGGCTAGAGTGCAGTAGTGCAATCTTGGCTCACTGCCACCTCTGCCTCCTGGGTTCAAGCGTTTCTCCTGCCTCAGCCTCCCGAGAAACTGGGACTACAGGTGCGCGCCACTACGCCTGGCTTTATTTGTATTTTTCGTAGAGATGGGGTTTCACCATGTTAGCCAGGCTGGCAAATTTTTAACCCTTTTGTTACTTCTCAAAGTCTTCTCAGACTCCTCTTTCATCCTACAGAAACTGATTTGAACTGATTGGGGAAAAATGATTTGCTTTGCACAGATATGGTTAGCTGGATACAGCCAGAGACTTGACTTATATTTTCTAGCACTACTTCTCTAAAACATTATTTTCCCTCACTAAAAAAACATTTTTAAGTCCTATATGTACCAGATATACCTGTGGCTATGACTAAAAATTAGGCACTACTCTTGAAATCATAGAGCTTTCACTGAAGAGAGAACTATAAAAAGGTAAATAGAAATGTAAAATCAATTGCAATTTAGCAAGTGTTATGATACAAATATTACAGGTAACACAGAACAGTGCTTCTCAAATTCTATGATAAAGGAATTTTGGTAAGTTAAAAAAAAATTCCAATTCATTACTGTTGTTTTTTAAAAATAAAATGACACAGCAGTTCTCAACATCTGTACTTACCTTGCCACAGACCTTCAGTTTGCAGATCATAGATCTGCACTTGGAGTAACATTGTTGTCAAACACTGAAGATGACTGACTTCAGACTTCAGCAAGTCAGGAAGCACTTCTAAGAGCCACCAGGTGGAGTGCTATGGGAGAAGGTTCTTGGTGGCATCAGCTGCATCCTGCCAAAGGACTTTTGGCTGAAAGGAATGAAATTTCAACTGCAAGAAGTGGTGAGAGATGAGCCTGCAGGGGCAAAGCAGGGCTATAGTGTATAGGAAGTCTGGATTTTACCCATGAACAGTGAAGAGGATTACACTAGATAGTCACACAAACATTTGTATTTGAGAACATTTTGCTACAGTGTAGATGGATGAGAGAGAATCCAGACTTGAGACAAGACCAGTTAGGAGGTTATCACATTATCAGGTAACACAGTGGCTCAACCTGTAATCCCAGCACTTTGGGAGGCCAAGGCAGGTGGATCACCTAAGGTCAGGAGTTTGAGACCAGCCTGGCCAACATGGCGAAACCTCATCTCTACTAAAAATACAAACATAATACAAACATTAGTTGGGTATCATAGCATATGCCTGTAATCCCAGCTACTTGTGAGGCTGAGGCAGGAGAATCGCTTGAACCCAGGAAGTGAAGGCTGCAGTGAGCCAAGATCGCACCATTGGCACTCCAGCCTGGGCAACAGAATGAGACTCCATCTCAAGAAAACAAACAAACAAAAAAACCCAGGATAACTGCAAGGGGATATAAAGTAGAAAACTGTGCCTGGGGGACTGAGATGGGAGGATCGCTTGAGCCCAGGAGGTCAAGTGAGCTATGATCGTGCCACTGCACTCCAGCCTGGGTGACAGAGCAAGACCATGTCTCAAAAAATTAAAAAAAAAAAAAAAAAGAAAGAAAACTGGTTACCAGTCTGAAGGACAGAACATCAGGAAAGATGGTTTCCAAAATTAAATTGGCAATACTATTTCATTCTTGAAGTGCAACTTTCAATCTTTGTTGGCATACCTAAAATTCACAAGACTTCATTCATGTTGGTTGTTATTCATTTTCACGACATAGTAGACATGTTCTTTTTTGTTGCTTAATATCCATTTCCTTATCTACCCTGATTTCCTTTTGAGGAACTGCCTCTGTCCCATTAGATAGCCTCATGCCAATCAGATGTAGCCTCTCTGGGATCTAAATTATGGGCTCCTAACCAGATTGTTCCTTCTATAAATTAGACCATATTCTAGTTTCCAATGTTGGTTTGGTTTCAGCTAAGTTCTACCCATGGACTGTGAGCTTCTGGTAATTTTTTGATGAATTACATTGGCCAGGATTCTTGGTTGCAACCACACATGGCATATTCAACAAGAAGTGGAAAGTTTCTTTTCTACAGAACACACTAAACACAAGACTCTAAATCACAGTTGTATGGTTAAACAATAAAAGCAAATCCTTGTTTACAGAACTATGCCTGCTAAATATTATTTCTAAGCAGTGAGGAAGACATTTTATTATATATGTTCTCTAATGGAAGACAGCCAAATAGTTTAATGGTAAGAGTTTGCTTGGAAGTGATATAGCCTAGGTTCATACCCTGGATCAAGATTATTTTCTTGGGCATATTACTAACCTCTCAGGGCTTTAGGTTGCTTCTTCATGGGGTTAATAATAGTACTTGTCTCACAGAACTATTCTGAAGATTAAACTAAGTAATATATGTAACATACTAAGAGTACCTAACAGAAGTAAGGACCCAATGCATATTAGCTTACAGCTATAAAATAAAACTGGTTTCTGAAACATAGATAAGAAAAACAAAATCCACAATGCAAAAACAAGACATTTTATTGAAATACTTACCAAACAATGAAGTATGATAGGTATAACTTAATTAACACAGGCATTTTAGAAATTAAATTATGTTAAGACTTAGAGAATTCACAGATTCATAATTGTGTTAAGGAGTTCAATATCTACATTTAGAAAACAAAGCATTGTTCTCAAGTACTGAAATGCTTGATTCTTCAAGGAATCTTCTCGGCTGTAAAGACTTGAGAATCTTGTCTCCTGGCCTTGAAAAGAAATTTTAAAAGACAATTTTAAGCTATAAGTCAATTAATTAGAATATGTGTTGTCATTCTAACATAAAAAATAAAATCTGGATTTTTTTTCAAGATAATAATGAAAATTCCTAAAGAAAAATTGTATTCTCAAACTTATAAAGTTAGGAATAAACATTTTTCCAGTCAAGACATAAACAAAGAAAATTCCTATCGCGATAAAGACAAAACAGTATGAAATAGAAAATGTCACTTTTTTATGGAATAATGAGTCAAAAGTAAAATGCTGGCTCAAAGTCAGAGAGAGATGAACAAAAACAGAGGAGGCTAGAGGAAGACAGGGCTGTGCAGAGAGAAACTTTATAAACATTATGCATATCCCTCATTATAGTCTTAAAAACGTCACTTCAAAAAAATTTTCAATGTTTGGGCTATTTTCAAAACCTGAGTTCCAAATCAAGACATGTCAAACCAAGCTAAATTAAAACTAAGTTAAATCAAGCTGAGAATACAAGAATGACACAATGGAAAATTAAGAATATAGTGGGGTAACTTTAAAACTGCATATCGGCCGGGCGCGGTGGCTTACGCCTGTAATCCCAGCACTTTGGGAGGCCGAGGCGGGCGGATCACGAGGTCAGGAGATTGAGACCATCCTGGCTAATACGGTGAAACCCCGTCTCTACTAAAAACGCAAAAAATTAGCCAGGCGTGGCGGCGGTCCCAGCTATTGGGAGGCTGAGGCAGGAGAATGGCGTGAACCCGGGAGGCGGAGCTTGCAGTGAGCCGAAATCGAGCCACTGCACTCCAGCCTGGGTGACTGAGCCAGACTCCGTCTCAAAAAAATAAAAATAAAAAATAAAAATAAAAATAAAACTGCATATCATAATGTGAAAAAGAATTAAGGAACATGGCTATTGCATAAATTTGTATTTACTATTTAACTGAACTGCATTAGGTGATATAGTCTAAAATAAATCCCTTCACCTAAACAAGTGCTCCAACATCTAGAACAGGGTTTAAAATTAGTAGACACTCAAAACATATCTATGGTAGAAATGTCTTATGGTAATTATAAGACAGTGGCCAAGATAAAAAAAAATTTTTGAAAACCAATCACTCTTTTTCTATAATAGTTGAATGATTATTAAAAGATCAGAACTCATCATAAGTACAAATACGAAGAACAAAACATAAAATGCAGTTATAAATATATTTTGGGATACCATAAACTATCAAAATTGTTTTTAATCCTATAATTTAAAAAATTGTAGTTATTGCTTTGAAGAAATAGACTTTTAAAAAATTAGTTATAAAAGCTAATATGAAATAAAAGTAAAATTACTATTCTGCCCTAATTTAGATAAAGCTGCAGACTTCCATCTGATGATCTGCAAAACACTTGGCACATTAATATTGGCTGAATTCCTATAGTATAAAGTACTGTTAAAAAGGACAGAATCACTATAAGAAACAGATGCTAAAAAAAAATAAGTTATATTAAACTAGTAAGATTAAATTTTTTTCATTTTTCAAAATGTAATATCTTTTCAAGAAGAAATGTGAAACTGTTCATACAAAAGCTCAGCAAACATGACTATGAGGTTTTGTATCCTTACAGAAAAGGCAATATAGGGCAGGGCTCCAGATGCAAACTGCCTAAATTGGAATCCTGACTCTCTATTTAGCAGTTGTGCTACCTTAGGAATACAATTTCTCTCTGCCTCAGCATCCTCTTTTATAAAATGGAGATTAATAATGGTGTCTACTTTATAGGGCTGTTGTGTGGATTAAATTAGTTAACATATGTAATGTGCTTAGGATAGCCCATAGTACAGAATAAGCATTAGACAAGTGTTATTTCAATCTATTATAATTAAAACCTTATTATATTTATTATTGTTATTCCTTTTCTATCTGGCAGTGTTACACATTGTTAGCCAAGTTACGATTCTTACAGTTAAAGCACAGCTACTGTTCATGACTCAGAAAACTAGAACATCAAATGTACAGTGCAGAGAGCACATTTTTAGTATTCTAACACCATAAACAGCTCCATTTCCAAGACCAGAAAGATAACAGCTAACTAAAATGTTCAGCAAGACACCATAGTAATATTT